TTTTATCGACTTTGTTGGTTTGAAAGCTAAAAGTGACCGTTCATTTAGTTTTGTAAGATCCATTCTAGGAATAAATAATTAAAATGTTTAGTAACTAGATTGAAGATAAAAGGATTATAGACTTACCTGTTGTTGTATAGAAATTGGTGAGACTGATGAAGTAATGCCACTAATATTGTCGAGTCTGCTTTTATATGATAATACTGAGTGATAGGGAAGCGGAATTACTTCAACGAGGTTCATACATTAAAAAAATTAAAAGAGGTCAATTGCTAATATCTGCTTACTAGAATATTAATTTTCTATAAATGTCCTTCATACATACAGTTATTGTTACTAAATCATATACGTGTATAAATGCAACTGTATCTAAGAACATTTTTAGTCCTCGTTTTTCATAGAACACCTCTCTCTTTAGTGATTATATTTAGTTATTTAGTCAGAGTGGGAATTACTAATGTTCGAAGATATTGTTATATAAACAGACATAACACCAGCGAAGTTAAAGAATATGAGAATGAGTTATTCCATAGAAGATCAATTAAGTGCCGAAGGTAATTGTAGTTGAATAAGGGTGTGTAAATAGAATGTGAGTATTTTGTTTTAGATCGCTGTGTAGTATCACCAAGATTTAAATTTTTACCAACACGATCAGAGCAGAATGTGATGACCGTGTCCAACATACAGTTCAATGAAGACGACGAATGTTATGGATCAGACATATTTCAATCCTATCGGACGTACTTAAGGACCTTGGATGACAGTTTCATGGATTCATATTGCAGTTCTGATTTTGTGTCATGTAATCAAGTATATTTATTATGGAGTCCAATGAATGTGATACCAGATATATCATTATGTTTAAAATGTAAAAATTATTTATTAGAAGTTAATTTCTATAATGATTGGTTAAATACCCTATTGCAAGGTTATCAGTATTGTTATAAGGAACCAGTAGCGTATATAGATTTAATTCATAATCATACGCTTGGCCACATTCATTGTGACAATTGTGGTTATGACACTGTAGATACAGAATGCAACATTGATGATGATACTTTTGATAATTTATTACACATGAAACGCATTGGCACTTTTGTAATTTATAAATAAATTTTATATATTTAATAATTATTATATTTTTTTAAACCGTAGCTCTCCCAGTTAGATTGAAGATCTTGGTTTAAACCTAAATTACAACACGCTTTTTCTTAAGAATTCTTCATAAATTGAAATTTTCCTAAAAGTAAACAAGTTACTTTTTTTAATTAACATGAAATATTAATTATCTGAGTAATGTCGGATAGTTTCCACTCCTTTTTCTTTGCTTTAATAGTTTAAGAAGAGGTTAAGCACAATTATGTTATAAACATTAAATCATCCTAAAATGTTTGTCAAATGTTATGCCATGGTACTTTAAATTGGAGATAATAAATATTATTATTATATTATTTGCTCAATTAGATTTCCATACAAATAGAAACCTTTATAATATATTGGATAATTATTTTAAAAATATTTATCTAAATATTATCCTAATTTTTCATGATCACTGTATATTCTCACGAGAATCGCGACTGCGACTATGAATATGTCATTGGGAAACAAGATGTTAAACAGAATTATATAACAAATATTATATCATACTGAAAATATCAGTGCTCAAATAAATTATTTTTGAATAAATAAGAAATCTTTAAAAAACATTGATATACTAACTTTGTTTCACTAACAGACGAGATATAATTATTTCTACAATAATTATTGTCTAAATAACATAGATCTTTTCATTGTCACTGTATATTACGGTAGATGACGAAAACACTGTACATTAACTATTGTACTTTTACTTACAAAAACACTGTAACTGTTATACTTTGATTAAAGTCAAAATTTCTCGTTTGTATATAGAAACAATTTTCTGTTTATATATATATACAAACTTAAAAACATTTTTTTGAAAGTCAAACGTGCTGTACTCGAATAGCCTCATTGCATCAGCAAATTATACTCAGTTATTACTGCCTATTTATTATTATTATTGCACCTAATTTGTATGTAGAAACAGTAATGGACATCTTTAGAAAAATATAATATGTTGCACGTAATTAAATGAGAATGTGAGGCCACAGCGAAGTGAATGGCTTACCGTCGACCTCGGCGAGTTTAGACGGCCGATCTCGTTTATTGCAGTTATTTGCATGCATTTGCAGGCTACAGGGTAGCCCAAATAATATGAATCACTTACCGGTGGTCCTATTTTCGGCTATTTTAAACCACAAATACCCTTTTAGACATCATCTTCAACATCAAGAAGACCCCCCTGGCGCGCGTCTGCCGGGACAGTCATTTCCTACCCAAAATTATGCAAATTGAGCCAGAATGAACTGTGGGCTATTGATGGCCTTATTTTCGACTATTTTAAACCACGAATATCTTTTTGGACGTCAACTTCAAAATCAAGAAGACCCCTCCAGAGCCCGTCTACCGGGACATCCATTTTCAACCCAAAATTATGCAAATTGAGTTTGAAGCGGCATAGTTTATCTACTGAGGCGCCACCGCTTGTCAATAGTTCAGCCTCCAAAAGGGCCGTATTTCCACTGGATTCGCCGCCAGGGGCCGCTAAAGCAACAAAATCGACAATCTTTCCGATTTGCCGTCGCAAAGCCGCTCCAGAGACGACCTGAAGCCCGGAGCTGCCCGTCGACACGCCAATTCAGCGACAATTAATGCCAAACAGTCATTTTCAGACCCAGCATCAGCACAACCCGAGCGACCACCAGCGCGACCCGGAGCCGACAACGAAACTTTTTTCTGAGTCCCTTTCTGCGGAGCCATGCCAGTTCCACTGCCAAAAGATGGGGAGATTGGTCGTCTGAACGAGATATGTTCGAACGTCGACTCTGGGCATTTGCAAATGCAAATCAGGTGACCTCGAAAACCACTCAGTGTGTGCACACGAGACTCTCATTGAACTCCAATAGCTGCGAAGCTCATTCCACAAAAGTATTGTAACTAGATCGTTCCTTACTCCGCTGTATTTTCATGCACATGTCATACATGCAATAAACATATAACATATAAATCCATAACATATATNGTTTTATATTATGACGTACCTAAACTACCTAGACACTGTTGGAGCGCGCGGCATGGGATTCACGTTTAACCGTGGTGCCATTGCCGCCCGCCCGTTTTTATTGCTGGCCGGCCTATTGCTAACATGGCCATGGTCCAGGTTCTTTTCAGTTAAAACACTTATAATTATTAGGGATATATATATTAGGAATTATAACTTATTTATTTGTTCTATCAGCTGGACAACAATACATCAAGAGTACATTCAAATTAGAACTGAATAATGTTAGAAATCGGAACTATTTATATAAATCAATTATCCAAATATTTATTTTAGATAAGGACGCGAATGCTTCCGTAACTCATTACATTATGCATATTTGTATGTGTGGCCGTAAAAAATATATAATTATGGACTGGGTGCGTAATGATGATGTCACATAACTATATATTATTTCACTTCGTGTTTCTCTTACCTCGCCAAAAAGATAGTTTTAAGAAGCATTGGCGCGGCGCGAGAAGACACATACCTCCGTCCCCAATAGCCATATATTCATATATACAAAAAAGTATCGAATTAATCCAAAGTCTGATATGAGATATATTTAAAATAGTCAATAGCGGGATATGTACTACTATCATAGACTTAAATGAAGGATGTATATCGATAATATAAGTAATAAAATTTGTAAATGATTGACATTTCACGACAAAACGTCAAAGCTGTCAAAGTGATAACTAAATTTGAATTTGCATATTCTATAAATTATGTAAATGCACTCATGTACAATTATGTTGCACAGAACATTAAAGAACAATGCTAAAATGTAAAAAGTCAAGTTCTGGCATGAGGACATTTAATCATTATAGTGAAATTTTGACAAGACGTTGACGTTAGATGAAGGTATTTCCCATATATTTTCTATTCATGCAATAAAACTGATACGTAAATGAAGCATAGTGTACCTGGAGGTAGAATATATGTGTGGAATTGAACCTACTTCGGTGAAAACATTTTATGTAGCATATAAATCTTGACAGTTATTGTTCCGTTAAAATCTTGTAAATTTGTTAGTATAAAAGTGCATCTAGACTGTAAAATCATATGTGCAGTATGTAAGAGACCCTCATCATTCCATATAAACTCCAACCANAGCATTGGCGCGGCGCGAGAAGACAATAGCCCCCAATAGCCATGTATTCATATATACAAAAAAGTATCAAATTAATCCAAAGTCTGATATGAGATATATTTAAAATAGTCAATAGCAGGATATGTACTACTATCATAGACTTAAATGAAGGATGTATATCGATAATAAAAGTAATAAAATTTGTAAATGATTGAAATTTCACGACAAAACGTCAAAGCTGTCAAAGTGATAACTAAATTTGAATTTGCATATTCTATAAATTATGTAAATGCACTCATGTTGTACAATTATGTTGCACAGAACATTAAAGAACAATGCTAAAATGTTAAAAGTCAAAGTTCTGGCATGAGGACATTTAATCATTATAGTGAAATTTTAACAAGACGCTGACGTTAGATGAAGGTATTTCACATATATTTTCGATTCATGCAATAAAACTGATATGTAAATGAAGCATAGTGTACCTGGAGGTAGAATATATGTATGGAATGAACCTATACTTCGGTGAAAACATTTTATGTAGCATATAAATCTTGACAGTTATTGTTCCGTTAAAATCTTGTAAATTTGTTAGTATAAAAGTGCATCTAGACTGTAAAATCATATGTGCAGTATGTAAGAGACCCTCATCATTCCATATAATGCGTTTAAACTCCAACCAAAGGTCAATTTGTTGTGTAGACTGTAAAATGCTTGTCGGAGCGGAGTGCTCAAAAACTTTCTTTCGTTTATATCTGAAAAAACTAATAAAGACTGTGTAAAAGGTGTTTAATAGACAGTACAGAAAGGCATATAAAGGACAGACATGCTGAGAATTAGTCCATGTATCAAAATTAAAGTGAATTTTGTAAAAATATGTAACATTTTGACATAACGTTCAACTTAACCTAGAAAGGTGTAATTAGTGTCAAAAGACGCAGAAAAATGCAAAGAATCTGAAAAGTTCATGCATCACAAGTCCATTAAAAAGTCAGTATTTGCAAAAATAAAATTCCAAAAATATGATTGTGATGTTGCCATAGTAAATTTCAATTATTTTGCACATTTTATAAAACCAATATCCGGGCTCGAGGTAGCCAGTCTCTCATGTTTACCTGTAGTAGCAACATCGTAAGTTTTGCTCCTAAAAAACAAGTGCTAGCTGTTATTATAAACAAATCAGTAAAAATCAGTATACTCACGTAGACTCATCTTGGTGATTAAATGTTGTATGAAAACTTGACAGTCAAAAGTCAGAATGGTAGTGGAAGTGACGTTAGCCCGAAAATACATTCAGCAGTCTCAACAAGCAATTAATACAACTACAACAAATTGATACGAGGTGAATTTATAAAAATAAAAACAAAAAGGTGACAAGTGTAATTTTAAAAGTATAGTGTTCTGTTGTTTTCACTTGTAAAAGTTCCTGTGGCATTACAAAGGTTACTTCGGCAGTTTCCGCTGCGAGACGTCAAATCAACGAGAGAACACTGGAACAGTGCGACTACATGCAGCAGATTTCGCAACACAGCGTAGTTACATGCTGATGGAAAAGTCAGAAAGAAATATTTCACTGTAATTGTCGACACGCAAAAAATATTTATTTTTCTTAGCTTTATTTGGCAGTAGAAGGATTTACCCAACTTAAAAATCACCCTGTATACTGCAAGCATACTTGCCAATTCTTTGTATCATGTATTTATTATTGAACTAAAATAGTTCAAGGTGGGGAGTGTGTTGAAGTATTTTGTATGTTAATACATTTTATATAATCTAAGTTTGTATATAGACGGTTGCAGAGTAACACGAAAACAAATGTTGTTGTTGAAAAATAAAATTAAAATGATGACATGTTCTAAATTCTATTAATCTATTTGTGTAGTTGTATTCAATCAGCACAAGAGTTTATACAGTCCA